TAGTTATACACTCAAGTTCCTGAAACACTGTCCTCAAAACACGGTTCGCTGAAGTCTAAGCACCTAGCTTCATGTGGCTGGAAAATGAATGACTCCTCATTCTTGTGTAGCACTTTACAGTCCAGCCAATCTTTTTGTTTACCTCTTATGAGCTTCTTAAAACAACCCTATACAACAACTAAACTACACCATTTCAGCATTCTGTAAATGAAACTTCACTCAAAATAATTCATGGATTTATTCAAAGTCATAGTATACAAGGAGAGATCCAAATTTAGAGTCCAGACCTTCTGAATCTTATGACTGCACAGGCAACGCATGAAGAACAGGACAAAATGCTGTAACCTTAAGTAATGGCCCAAGGAGTGATATCTCCAAGGTTCAGATGAAGGCACGGAAGGGACCTGCACATTCAGGCAACCTTCTATCAGGTGAGTCACAGCTGTTTGTATTTGGAGCTCGCAGTGACCACAACAAAGTGAGCTAATCCTTTTTGGCCTGAGCTTGCTGTTATGTGGAATCAGCTTTGAGAAACACAAATACTGAACCTTCACCAACTGACTTAGTGGATGAATCACCACAATTACATGAGTAATTCATGTGAAGTCCGAATTACAAAAAATAGAAAAATCGCCTTTACTTTGTGTGTGTGTGTGTTTGTATAGACTCATGCATTCCATACGTAGAGAAATACAAAAATACACAATTTGCATTTGTCTTGTGAGCTTTGCCTGCTGTGTTTCTTGGGCCATAAGTGAAAACCAATGACATAGTTCATAGGTGCATAAGCATTTTTAATAAAATGTATATAAAATGCCATAATCCTAGATGATATACAGCACATTATACTTCATTCTTTACTACATATATTTAATGAAGGATTTTATGGGCAATGGATGATCCTTAAAGCATTAATGATAGCCAATAAATTTTGATTACCTTTAGTGATTTAGCTATAAAGAAAAGCTCAGAATTGTCACAACCTTTCACTGTAGGCCCACAAAGTTTGTTTTCAAATAGTGAGTTATAAGTAGTAGAAAATCACATATTGTGTCAGGAGTTTGTTGAATGTTGACACTTTCTAAGTGAATGTAGGCGTTCCAGATGCCTTATAGAAAAGGAACCATGTTTTCTCTTGAAATATGAACAGAAATTTTATACTTCATTGTCAAATAATCACATCCTTTTTTGTTGTTTCTTCTTTTTCCCTTGGTACAGAAACAAACATGGAAGTAAAATCTAAAATTTGGAAAAACAAAATTTAAGTATGCTTTACTATGACATTTAGTTTCTATTAAAATTCCATACACTTATTGTATATATTTACATTTAAATGGGAAAAGAGTTATCATTGTGAAACTATTAGAATATTCTTGCAAACATCAAAGAGAGTTAGAACTGTAAAATAAAAAGAAGCCCAACATGTCTCATTTAGACACTTAGAATCACAGTATTTGGAACCTCTGCATTTTCTCATGTATACACTCACATATGTAATGTGCATATATATGTAATATTTACAAAGAGATTTTATGAGCAGGTTACGATGATAAAAATATATTATGCAGCCAATAAGGTTGCTTGACATCAAGTATTTTAATATCTTTCTAGATGTACGCTGTCAATATTGAAAAGGTAGTTGTTAAAATGATATTTGAAAGTTTATTATGGATAACTACCTATTACTAGTTTTCAATGATTTATCAATAGAGCTATATGTGTTTCAGTTCATTAAGATCGAGCAATAGGTGAATCACTATGAGTGGTTATGTGCAGAGTACAGGGTTAGAAGGACCAGACTAGAAAGTCATGTAGCATTTGATGGAACTTTTGGATTATAATGACAGCAGTGAGGTAGGTGACCACTGTTTAGAGAAACACCTGAGGCTGCATCATGAGTAAAGCCCTGTGGATAAGTATGTGTTTCACATGCTTTCTTGTACATAAAAATATAAATCCAGATTATGGTTCATCCTACCTAGAAAGGAATTCCAGATGAGCTTTTTGCTACACTGCTTCTACTTGTCTGTGGATCATACTTTGGTCATTTGTCCTCCGATTGGAAGTGTTGTAGTGGGTATCATGAGCTATTTATGTAATTCCTCATAAAGATCTGAAAGTTCCCCCAAGGAGCAATCAGGTTAGCTATGCATGACAGGCTATCTCTCCTCCAAGTTTTGTCATAATAATTTTATGATTTTAATATTTTTAAAAAGATAGAAGTTACAGAACATGCCTATAACCTGGTCATTCTCCTATCCTATCATGATACACAGTAATGTCAAAGATCACATTATATTATACCAATCATCAGTTCTTAGGGAAACATATGTTTCATGGAAGCGAGGGTGAAAGTAAATGTTTTGGAGCTGCATCAGCCCAGGTTCTGTCAGTGGAGCCCCAGAACGACAAGTCTCTCTTGTCTCCTGTTACCATTTCAAGCTATTCAGGGCCACACACTCTGAGAGAGGATTTTGCTTTTCTTGCCACTCCACTTTCTTGGTGCCAAGCACCCACTGTGGCTTCCAATGAATCAAGTTCTCCTTCCTCTCCTCCCTGGAAGCTCACACTCCCAGAAAAATGTCACAAATAAAGTGGAAGTATGCCTTTCCCAGGCTAGACTTGCAAACAAAAAGTAACAGTACCATTCTTCACCAGGAAACTGACCCACAAAGCAGAGTGGATTCAGTTAAAGAGATTGAGAAGAAGGTCAGCTAAGAAAACAAAGGGGACTCTCTCCATAGTTATGTCTGTTAGAGCTTGACCTACCCCATAATAAAGCCTTGTGTGAGGAAAAGAAAACAAAAAGACAGCATGTTGTTAGGTGAGGCCAGGAGAGGCAATGGGCTCCCATAGGTTACTTATTTGCATGCTGTTTATATTCTCTTTCCCTGTCAAGGGCTGGTGCTGCATTTTTTTTGTCTTTTCTCTCAGCCTCCATTTCCACCCTGTAATGTCTGATAAAGTGTAGTGTTTAAAAACCCACAAAACTCCATTTCTTTGGAGCCTTAAACATACAAAAGCACATCTATATCACATGGTGATGTTTACATAATGAGACTGCTTCTCCTAGACGTAGACTTCTATCAATATACCATATGAAAGTGCAAGATCCACTTACTCATCTGCATTAGTATGAACACGCTTCTCTAACTCTTAGCTATCTGTACCTTAGGATGCAGGTGATACTGAATTGGAAAGACATTGCCAAGTTTTCAGACACTAACTACAAAGCTGTATACGTTCATATATTCACATTTGGCACATTCAATCTCATAATTTGAAAAGTAGCACTTCTAGGGCTAGGATAAATATAGATAGTTTCACCAATAAAGGGTTAATGATGTTCGGGAATATGAATGTCAGCAGTTGAGACAGCATGCTTGTGTGTTTGCAAAAATATTTTCTGCATTATTTCCAAATCCCTTTGCAAACAGATAAATTACTCTACAAATCTTATTACTCTGTGTGGATAAATCACACATGCAGGTTTGCAAGGCTGGAGAGCTACAAGGGAAAATCTGCTTTGAAAAGGAGGATCTTTGGGATCCATAATCACTCTAAGCTCAGGAAATGAAGGAAGAAGTACTTCATTTGCTTACTTTCTACAGTCTGGAACAGCACATGCACATACAAAACACACACAACACATGTTCCATCACACCACATACACTTTCCTCTCTAACAAAGCTAGAGATCCCAAAGCAGGACACTCTGTGACAGCCAACCAAATTTATTTCTGAGAAAAGAAAAGAAAACTTTGCTGCTGTCGGCAGCTCTGCTACAGAACTGCTCCCTGATGCCCCAGGGTTTATGCACTATCAGCTCCTTGCACACAGATTAGAGGTTTATTTTCTAAGGCATACTGTTTTTTATTGCCATAACCAGCAATATTAGCTGGATAGACAGACTGACACTGGGTCATTTTATCTGGGGGAAATGAGATTTTAAAACATCTCCAAGGAGAATATTTTCTTTTTTATCTTTTTATATTATTATCTGCCAGAGACTCAAGAAAAGCTGGAGACAGGGAGACAGAAGAGAAATACAGGAAAAGGCACTTGGCGCTTTAAAGAAATAGAATAATTACCTGCTACCATCCCAGTCTCTCTAGCTCACTGTCCCTTAAAAGGGTCAAACTCCCAAGGACTTGGGACTCTTTCCTATCCAAATTTAAATCACAAATTACATTGCAGAGTTTGGCAGAGCGGAATAAAAATAAGACTTTGAAGTTAATAATCAATTTGAAGTATTTATGTAATGCCAGGTTAATTCTTTCCCCACCTCTGTGCTTAAGTCTTCTTAACTGCCAGCCTTTGGGCTCAACCCTTTTCCCCTTCTTCGCTTGATTCTTGTGTTGATTTCTATCCACATTCCAGAAAAGTCTCAGTAACCACCTAAAGTTGTAAGATTGATTTATTGCCTTCAATGTCAATTCAGAGATCTTTACACAGTCTTCTATCAGAACCACTGTTAGTGAGGACTGAGAGACTTGCTACCACACACACACACACACACACACACACACACACACACACACAAACAGGAGCAGGAGAATGCAGGACCCTGTGCCACTCTTTGAGAGCCATAACTCAACAATTCTTCTGTCTGAATTAAGGAACCTCAACAGAACTCTGAAGTGCAAAGCACGAGCAGTTATCACAGCAAGAATACAGTCCAATGCCACTAATGCTACACACTGGAGAAAACATCCAAAGAACCAAACAACATTCCATGAGCACCACTGGTTCTTGACAGGGACCAGAATTCCCCTGAATTTTGTCTGCTGCTGGATGCTCAAGTGAGTGCAAGGCACACAATCACAGGCACACATCACAAGCCAGCAGCACCAAGGGAGCTGGAGTTCAAGGCGATCACACACACACACACACACACACACACACACACACACACACACACACACACACACACACACACACACACACACACACTACTGACCCACTGACGCGCGCGACGGAAAAGTTGCCCGCAAGCCCTACCTGAGGATGGCTGTGTCCCCCTGTCTCACGGTGATGTTGTCGGTGCCTCGGTTAAAATCCACGCTGCGAACAGGCAGTCCTGTGGGAAGAAGGCAGAGCAATCTCAGTAGGACCAGCGGCAACTGTTTCCGATCAGGTTGAACTCTCCCGACCATGGTGGCCTCTCCGACTTGGTCCTCGGTGGACTCCGGAGGCGTGTGTGCGCTGCTGGCCACGGATAGGGGCTCTAAGCACTTGGGGCTCCCAGTCACTGCCAAGGCTGCTCGGGCGGGTCCAGCACGCGCCCCCTTCCACTTAGCCTCGCTCTTTCCCTCGCTCAGTCTCTTTCCCCTCTGAGACTTAACAAAGCCCTCATCAGATCCAAGCAGGGGTGGGGAGAAAGTGGAGGCACAAATTTTCTAAAGGTAGAGTGTAAGTGTAAAACGCTTAGTGATGAGGAGGCTTCTCTGGACTCCCGGGCTAGCTCCTCCTCTGCCAGCGTCTGGGCTGTGCTGCTTCCCTCTGTAACCCACTTTCCCAGGCGGGCAGGCTAGAGCCAGCACTGAGGCTGCCAGGGAGTGTAAAGAAACAGCCTCGCAGTAGCAGCCCTGGAGCTCTCTCCCACTCCCTCTCTCTCTTGTTTCTCTCTCCAGTTCTCTCTCTTTCCAGTTCTCTCTCTCCAGTTCTCTCTCTCCAGTTCTCTCTCTCCAGTTCTCTCTCTCCAGTTCTCTCTCTCTCTCTCTCTCTCTCTCTCTCTCTCTCTCTCTCTCCCTCTCTCCCTCTCTCCCTCTCTCCCCTCCCCCCCTACCCTACTGGTTTTCAACAGCCCCCGCCACGTCATCCCCTCCTCCTTCCCCTTGGCGTGGCCCCTCGCTTTGCACAACTGCCCCCTTCAACAGAAGCCAGCCTCAATGAAAGCCTGATGCGCCTTTGGGTTGTCAGGACAACAGCTCCATCTGAGGCCTGGCTGATTTCCTTAAGAAGAGGGAATGGAGCTCCGAGGTACTGACCGGGAAGAAGGAAGGGGACTTAGGCCATAAAGGAGTACAGGAAAGAAGAGAGGAAGCATGGGGTGAGAGACATGCAAACCTTGACAAATGGAGAGAGAGAGCTACAGAAGGATAGGAAGGCATATGTGGGGGGGGTCGGGGGGGGGACTTGAAAGATGGGCTAAAAAAGCTGAAACAGAAGAAACTGGGCATGTGAGCCGCAGACTGAAACTCAACAATCCTAGTGAATGGCTTTCCAGTCCCACATCTTACTTTTTCTCTCTGCTGTTCTTTCTGTTGCAGAATTTAAAAGGTTTAGCTTCTCTCTGGTCCTTCATCCCCTCCCCCTCTTGGAGCCCCTTATGAAAGATGGATTGGAGACAATGCTGGTATTGAGTGGTCTGGGGTGTGAATGCTTGGCTTGTCTTTTCCAAGTGCCAGCCTCAGCAGCTGATCCCTGATCCCTAAATCAACCTCACTCTCCAGGAAACCCAAGGCCCTGCACATGAGTGATGGTATTTCAGATTATTGGTCAAATGACACGTTAGGGTTGCCACACAAGTTCCCACAGACACTTGCTTTTCAAAATGTTTCTTTTTAAGGAAGTAGATTCGTATATCAGAAAGTTTGCCATTTACAAGATCTAGGCTGCAGGCAGCACTCTAGTGAATACCAGACACCAGAGAGGTTACTGTCATTTGTCACTCCTACACAATGATCCAACCACGTGATGAGGTCCTTAAGGCACTAACACCTTAGTCACTCAAATACCAGGCAGCTCCATCAGCACTGACGCTGAGAATGAAAGATGGGGTTGGACTAGGCAAAAACTTCTTTTCTGCTCTGAGAATTTTGTTTTTTAATTCAATTATTCATGTGGTCAAAACCCAAAGGTATAAAATGCTACAGGAAGAACTACTACTGACAGTACACAACTCATTTCTCCTACTAGGAGCCATTCCCTCTTCTCCTAAAGGAGGAAGGAGGAGGATGGGTTTCAGACTCTTTCAGGCTTTGAGCAAGAAAACCATCCTCAGACCCTCAGAATAAACACTCTTGGTCTCCTTTAGGCTTCTCTGCACCAGCAAGACCTTTTGTGTTTCAGCTGTTTCCTGTCTGATAGCAAAGAAAATATACAAGGGCAATGGAGAAGTCCCAACTGAAGAGTTTCTGAGTCATCCCTATAACTATTCTACATTTGTGAGCAGGGAAAACTCCAGATTGGGACACTCCATTTGTTGCAGCCCCTAGTCTGGACATTTCTGTTCATATTCAATACATTACAAAAACATACAAATGCACACACACTCATATACACAAAAACATCTAATATTCTTATTTACACAATTGGTTTGTTGAAGACATTCATATATACATATACATATACATGTATATATATATGACATATATGTATATGAAATTTTTTGGAACCCCTGTCAAACCCCTCCAGGACATAAACACTAAGGAAACATTCACAGTGCTGACACTTGCCTTGTCCCCCAGAGTATTCAAAGGATTTCTCTGTGGCATTCTGTCAGTTTAAAAGTAGATGAATTCTTATAGATTATGTGAGAAAAGAAGATCTTTTGTCTTTGAAGAAAACGCTTTCAAGTATTGGAATCTGAATTGCTCCAAATTCAAAGTGTATAAAGTCAATTAATTTTTTTGTACAGTATGTTCATTTCACATAAATCAAGATATCCTCTGTCAGTACTGATCAACGGTTCCCAGCTAAGAAGCCAGGGAGGTGCTACCACTGAGCTGTGACTTAGCTGTTTAAAGCCCAGACCAATTTTGTCAGAAAAGAAGTGGTTAAAATGGTTAGTGGACTCACAAAATCCACAGCTGTGTATTTATCACTATGAATGTGAAAATGAGTTTCACATGCTAAAGAAGGTACTGTAAAGACCGCAGGGAGAAGAGCACCCTCTACCTTCAGTATACCACCAATGAACTTGACCTTCCCTGTTAGGTATCTTCTGGGCTCTTAGGAATGAAAGATTCACTTACTCGATCATTTGATCATTTATACATAATATATAGTCTCTGGAAAGCTGATGTTCCTCTAATGTAGGAAAGAAGGAAATGAAAGGTACAGTGGGCAGAGACCCAAGAGAATCGCCTGTTACTCTTGACAGTGCTAGATGAGTGGTCTGACACACTGGGAACATAATAAAATCCTGACGTTCTGGAGGGAAGGATTCAGTTTACCAAGAGTATGTATACTCCCTCTTATCAGTGGTTTGAATTTTGTCGGAAAAAAGGAGTAGATTTTTGAGGACAAAGAGAAGTGTGATACAATGTTAGCATATTATTTGTGGAAGATGCTAACACATGACTGCTAATGAATGCCTATACCAATAATCAGGGTTAGAATGAGATTCAGAACCTACTTAAGAAGATAATATCACAAGCACAAATTTTTACATAAAAATGAAAAATGCAATTAAAAGTATCTTCATTAAACAAAGTCTATTTCTTGGGGCAAATTTGTTGACTTAATTGACTTAATATGAACACTGACATAAACACACAAATTTCTTAAGACTACAATTGAGAGCTCTAATTTACTATGGTCAATCTAAGTCTACTAGACTAGATTCCTGGAAGTTTTCAGTCTTGAAATTTATTACGTTGATCAATAATGCAATAGAATTTGCATTCAGACAGAACCTCAGGTACAACTCCTTTCACACAACACTTGACCCAAAAGGAGAGCTTCATGATTGTTGAATGTAAGAATGGAAGGAGGATTGAATGTCCATGCCCAGTCATGGAGCACACCTCACCATTTACAAAATAATGAGTCTATCAACCCCTACTGTCACTGAGTGGCTTCTTGGACTACCCTCTCTTCAGTCCCTCATGGACACCTTTTGGTTTTCTTTTTTTTTTAATGATCTACTTTCTAATAAATCAATCGTCTATAAAACTGGATAGTATATCTCACCCTTATAGTCATTCCCCCCCCAAACTACTTGATATTAACTTCTCTACTTTCTTTCCTTAGAAATATAGAAAGATAAACAAGTAGATGAGTTGCTAAAATTTATACAGTCTATTTTTCTTGAATCATTGTATACATTCTTGCAAGCAGGTTGGCAAAAATGAACATACTCGGATTATTTGTGAGGGAGGTATGGCTGTTAGCCATGTGAAACAGCCATCATCACCCAAGTAAGATGATATTAACTACTACTTTAAAATAACATACTGCCTTTCCAAAAGAGGCTTTAGAAGATTCTGGCACTCTCCAGGGACAAATGCTGCAAGAAAAACAAAAACTGGCTAACATCTGAGCACCCTAAGAGGCACGAAGGGTTTATTCTTCTGTTTCACTTTGTAAGGTAACAGGCGCACGTGAAATCCAGATGCAGCCTCGAACGTATGACTATTATTTAGCTACATTGTTTGCACTGTAAGTTGAACTTGCCTACAAAATTATTAATTCATCACTCTACATTTCTACCGTTGTAAGGCCCTAATCATAATAACTCTGTGCTTGAACTCCACTTTCCTAAGTAGAATTAGCTTTTCCATATGAACTAGAAATGGATAAATGGTAATACTTATCCTCAAGACCCTCACTATGGCATTTTCAATAATCTCATCATAATTTAGCAGCATTTAAGTATTTTAGTGTATACTCTTAAGTATAGCAATAGTTCATGTGGCTTTCCTTTTGAACCTGGCACCTTTAAATACACTTTTATTCATATGAGTCTCACTGCCTAACAAGACCAGCAGTCTCAAGTCAGTTAAATAATGTCCAGCTTCTTCCTGCAGAACTGCCCCAACTCAAGTCCTGCAGGAAGAAAATCACTCTAGGGTTTGCTTTTAGTGCATGACTTTGTGGTTCATTGTTATTAAATCAGTCCTCTGCTTCTAACCACGTAGTTTTTGCTCCCTTGTTCTATTTTTGTAACCATCAGCGCTTGGATGTGTCCCAGTTTTCACAAGGTCTCTGAGATTTTTGAGCTGCTCATATTTTGGTTCTGCTCTTGGTTACCCATTCACATACCTGCACTTATACTTACTGATACACTGCCACGCCAGTAAACCTATCTTCATACCCTTTTTTTTTTATTTCAAAGAATTCTATGCACTGGCCCTAGGGCCCATATTTCTTTCCAGGTTCTTCCAATCTGCCACAATAGCCATTATCTGCAAAGGGGTGATGATGACCAATTAATGTGTTATCGGCATTGTTTCTATTCCATTAGATATGCCTTTCATATGTGGGAAGAACATTGCAACATCTGGGATGATGGCAGCGATGGCATCTTCAGACTAGCAAAATGTCAGGTCAGGTAATGAAATTTTACCCTCTATCTGAGGTTGTTATAGTGAACTGGGTTCCTACACTCAGAAAAGTGGCCAAGGAAAAAGAGTGGAGGCAGGTTTGCAAATCCATAGCCTAAAATGAGCAGTAAGTATATGACTCATCCATTCATTCAATAGACTGCCACTGATGTGCTAGCAATTAGCAGAGACCAAGAATATGATCTCATAGAATTCAAAAATAGATATTAGATTTCAAAATAGAGATTAAACAAGTAAATGGATATTTAAATTATTTTACAATGTAAAATCTATAGGGGGAAAGTATGTGTGATAGAGAAAAAAAATGGGGGGAGGGACAAAAGCAATACCTCTTTGAAGAGGTTAGTTTGAAGCTAACTCCTAAAATGTGAAGAAGTAATCAG